AAAGAGTGTGTCTTCTGCCCTGTGTTGGTGGGGCCAAGTGTTGTCCTTGCACCGTCCTGCTGTCCAGCTGTGGTCCTTCTCAATGGCCAGCCATCAGGCAGGGGGACACTTGTGTCCCAGCCACCTGGTGGCACCAGATACCCTTAAGAAAGGGTCTCTAATATGGATCGTAGAGCCCTGGGACAGCCTGACCCTGAGGACACCCCGGTTGCTGGCATGTGGTGGTGGCCCTCTTCCCAGCAGGATGGACCCAGTGGTGGCAAGCCCTTGTCCATGCATGGAAGCGGAGTGACGCAGGGGCTGCTCCTTCCCACGGCTGCTCGGGAGAGGAAACGCTGTTCCCTGGACAGCCCTTCCTTGGGGTGACTCACCGGTGCTGTCACCCGTCAGAGACGGGCTGCAGATGGTGACAAACCCGCTGGAGGTCCCCAGCGCTGAGCTCATTGTGGGACCAACGCTGCTTGGGAGGCTTTGGGGTCCCCTGGACTCTGCTGACCCAAAACCCCACTTTCTTACCTTGTCGTTGGCTTGTTGAGTGGTGCTGCTTGTTCTCCTGTTCCTGCCCCCTTCAACACTGACACCAGGCTGGGGAGCTGCCTGCTCTGGCCATGTTGGACTGCTCTAGGAAGGAAGGAGTCCTGCTGACCAGCGAGGATGACACCGAAAGATGAAATTGTAGGTTTTTTTCCTGGACTTTTTCTCCTTTGGGGCGGAGGACCCTCACCTGGCTCTGCAGAGTGAGGGGCTTCGGTCACCTCTGGGACCAAGGGATATCCCAGAGCGAAGGCTGCTCGGTCCCAGCGCTGAAGGATGAGTCCCTGCTCTTGAAGGACTCAACACTGTCAGGTCTCAGCACTTTCATGGGGTTCATCTCCTGTTCTGCTGGATTTGGACTCTGGAAACTGGTGCAAGATGGTCCCAGGCAGAAAAGGGACGGGGTCAACCTCCCGCCTTGCACCGTGATGCACTTTGCTGTCGGTGAAGCTGGCAAGCTCTCAGCACTAAATGTTTATTTATATTAAAAAAAAAAATGCTATTAAGTCTACATGGGGGGAAGGGGAAATGCCTGTTTGTAAATGTTAACTCTGAATAAACACTTGTCTTGTGGAATGGAACTGGTGTCCCTGGGTTAATGGAAATAATTGTGCTGGGAGCAGGGCCTGGCTGTGGGGAGGAAGATGCTCTGGTCTGGGTCCCTGCCTGGCTCTGGGGGTTTGGGGGTCACTCTGGGGGTGCAGCACAAACCCAGCTGTGCTTTCCACCCAGCCGGCGGTGGGATGGGGCTGTCGCGGCCCTGGGTGACTCCTCTGCAGCATGAAACATCAAAGCAGGGGGATGGGGAGCTGTGCAAGGGCTGAGAGGGGCAAAACCTCACCACAACCCCTGTGCTTAACCAGTCCCTTGGGACCGCTCTGTGTGCTGTGGTCCTAGGTGCAGGATTGGTGCTGCCACCAGATCCCCAGCAGAAGCCACTGCCACCTGAGCAGGGTCTCACTGTGGGACCCCCGTGTGAATGTAGGCTCCTCTGCTGCCCACATCATTCCCCCTTCCCCGCTGTGACCCCAGTCCCCTCCTAACCCCCAGTGCACTACCTTGCGGGGCAGGTGGCCATTAGCCACGGGTAGTGCTGGTCACGTCCCCAGTCCTTCTTTAAAGGGGTCCCAGGTGCCCAGGCCAATGAGGGTGACCCATGTTGTGGGACAGGGACATACAAGAGCATGTGGTGGCACTGCTGATGACAACATACAGGTGGGACTGGAGCTGCCGGGTGCCAGGGCAAGAACCCCTGGGGCTCAGGGATGCTTCCACCATCAGCTGCTTCTTCCGAGGACCGAGCAAGACTTGTATGTGGACTGTGAGCTCAAGTTATGGTTAATGCCTCCAATTTGCAGAGGATCCAGGTGAAAATAAAGTTTTGATGCTGACAACCTTGTGTCATCGTTCAACCGAGGATCCCTAAAGCGTCTGCCTGTCCCCGTAGCATTGGGTGACACCCATGCATGCCGACCGCCCCTTGAAATGCTTGCAGAGCACAATCATGCAGCCTTTTAGCTGCTGCTGAGTCAAGCCCTACAGATTTAGCCCTTTTAATCTTTCCCCTTACGTCAGTCCTTCCAGCCCCCTTGGCCGCTGCCGGCCGCTCCCCTCTGCTGTCACCTCCCGTTTGTCAGGAGCGGTGGCGATGGAGGAAGCAAGAAATAAATCAGCAAATACTCCCTTGTCCCTGTTTGTGGGGCTCTGAGGGCAGCCAGGGTCTGGCTCTGCTGTGGGAGAAGCAGCTTGGCACCCGGGCTTGAGTTTTGCACCCCCCTGGGAGACCCCAGCCCTGCACCAGGCAGGGGAGGACTGTGCCCCCCCACCTTTGGGGGAGACAAAATAGTGACGGGCTTCCAGCAGCTGAGGAATGGATGGAAATCTTGCATTTTCAGCCCAGGTTGTGTTTTGCTGCTTTTCCATCCCAGCCTGGCCTCAGCACGGAGCGAGGATGACAGGGTTCAAACTCCCACGACGGCCGAGCGGGGCTGGGAGGGGGGTCAGGCGCTTCCCCTCCTTTCCCCACTATATTCAATTCTCTTTCGCCGAGACCTGCCCGGCATCTCCTCGGGGCTGGAAAGGGCCGCTGCTGCTGCGGGGCTGGATCGTACCCCCCCACGGCTGGTGCTAACCCCGGCGCAGGCTGCCCGCGGGGCTCTGCAGCTGGCAGTGAGATACCAGAGTCCTGCTGGGCAGAAGGCATGAATCAATGAGCTCTCCCAGGGATATTTAGGGGTTTGTCCCCAAAAACATCCTCAGGGAAAGCAAAGCCAAAATTCAGCCTTCTCCGTGCAGCAGCAAACAGCCCCGGGGGTTGCGAGACACAGTGGCAAACTGAGCTCGGATGTGGTTTGTGCAAGCTGAGCACCCCAGCCTGGCCGTGGGGTTGCTTCAGTCTGGGGTTGCCAGCACCAGCTTTGCTCAGAGAGTGGGGAACAAAAACAGCTCAATTGGCCTACGAATGCCCAGGCGGAGCGCTTGCACCTGAGCTGGCGGCTGCTTCGTTAGGTTAAACAGCAAACGAGCAGGGCTGGGTGGGTGTGATGGGGCAGGGCACCTGCACAGCCAGTTCCCTGCAAGTGATTTAACCAGCTCGGGTGGGGAGAGACGGGCAGGGCACCAGCCTCCACCCCACGGCTCCTGCCCCGAGAGCCTGGGCTCAGACCCATGCTCTGGGGATGGTGATTCTAGTTATAACCTAAAGATAATAGTTGGCATTTCCCCTTGTTATTATTTTAGGTTTTTGCTTGGGATCTTTTTCCCATTTTACAGTTAAGGTGGAGCAAAAAAGGGACGTGACCCGTCTAATTCCCCTGCCCCCTTGCAAACCAGAGTGGTTGCAGACCGTGGGCAGCCAGTGGCGTCGGTGCCGGCTTTAAGTAATTCAGGCAGGACCCTTGAAAAAAATACCAGTGTGAGCAGCGCAGTGGGGGAGATCTCCAACTCCGCAGGGGGAGTTTGCAGGTTTGTTCTGTCCTTGGTAGGATGCAATAACCTGCGGGCTATACACAGGCACGTAGTTTGGGTTATTTGGACTCTTAAAATAACATTTGTTGTTTCTCTGATGTTTTTCCCCTGTCCCAAACACCTTCCAGCCTTGGCCGGACCATTGCAAAGAAGGAAAGGATGGGGACTTCTGCTGCGGTTCCCGATGACCCTGGTGGTGCCCTTGCTTTGGGATCTGGGGTTTTGGGGGGACAGTGACCCTCCAGACGAGCCCTTCCCGCATCCCGCTTGCAAAGCAGCAAACAGGAAATATGTGAGCACCGGCAGTTGAGTGTAACCCGAAAACGGAAAGGCGCCTTGAGTAAGAGAGAAAATGAGAGCTCGGGTGCTGGGCAGGTCAAACACCCCCAGCGCGGGACCAGCATCCCTCCCGGCCCGGGGAGCCTCGCTGCCCCGTGCACCCCGAAACTGAGGATCCCTCTCGGTAGGTGGGAAAGGTAAGGTTTGCTAAGGGATAGCTCATGCATCACCTTAAAAAATAGAAAAGCAAGGGAAATAAGTGGGTTTTCTTGCTGTTGGTGAGCTGGGGGGGCTTTTTCTTGCTGCTTGCAGGGGGACTGTGGCTGGGGGCCGTTTTCTGATGGCTGGGAGCCGCGAGGGGTGTTTTGGAGGGGAGGCAAGTTGCTGGGAGTCGGTGATGCCGTGGGGGGACCCCTGCTCAGCCAGGTCTGGGGGGTGCACGGCTCCCATCCCAGCCCCCCCTGCTTGTTCTGTGCCTCCGTTGTGCGGTGGGCTCAGCTCACCCCCCAGGGCTGGGGCAGGTAACTGGGGGGCTTCCCCATGCCTTAAACAACCCCATCTGCCCCCCAGAGCTCCCACTTCTGTTGTCTTAGAGGCTGGGACCACCATAAAGGCACCTGGTTTCTGCCCCCCTGCCCCCCCACCAGTGTCCTGTGGGACTCCAGCAGCTCCACGAGATCCTCTTGCTTTAAGGGGAAAGGGATGTTTTTGGGGCCTATTCCCGCGTTTCTGGTGCACCCCAGGATTTAGCAGAATCGCCATTTCACATTGCAAAAGGAAAGGGGCAGAGGGCTGGAGCAGCCAGGGGTCTCCCCGGGCTGGGAGTGGAAAGGTGGGCTGCAGCCAGCCCGGGCATGGCCCTGGCTCTGCGTCACCGCTCTCCGTGGCTGTCGTTTCCTTCAC